TATATATATATATATATATATAGAAGTAAACGCCTTCGTTTTTGTTTTTGGTATCGTTTGGACGACCACAATTAAACATCATCTCAGGTGAACCAAGACAAGAAGCAGGCGATGCAGTGCGCGCCACGTGTGACGACAAACATCGAAAAGGGGTGTGCGTCCCCCGTTGCCGCGGCTGGCATGCCGTAGACGCACGTACACACTCATACCGACACGCATGGGCGCCACCACCGTCCACTCCGGACGCCCAATCACACACAGGCGCAGACTCACGCAGTCTGGTGTAACAAACACACACACACACACACACACACAGCCCGGAAACGCCAACACCGTCCGGCGTCGGCATTTAGGGATTCATCAGTTCTTTTTTTTTTCTGAATATTTCGTTGCGCCCCTATGAGGGTAACAACGGTGAAAAAGAAACAAAAAAACAACACAAAAAGAGTCCTTTCTCCTCTTTGATTTTTTTTTCCTTTTTTGCTTCTCATGGCCACAACGTCCCACGTGTCTTCACACAGTTAACAAGAATAGACCAAGCAGCTCCCCGTTCACATGACGGTGCAGCACTTCGCCTTTGGTGGCTCCTTCAGGTACGGTCTATCGAAAAAAGGCTCCACCGGCACCGGAGATGCGGTCGGCGATACCCCCCGGCGGGAAGTGGCTGTTGGTTCTGCTGATCTTGCAGGACTCGGTGATTTCACTGATTTCACGGGAGTCCTCGCCACAGCCGAGTCTACCGGTGTTTTAAATGTCTCCACCTTTGCAGGCGTTACTGATGATGGAGCTATTGGTGGTGGTACATGTGTATCTAGTGTTATTGCTCGCACCTCTTGTATCGGTGTCAACGCTGGTGATTCCGCTTGCCGTCTTCTGGACGCAGCCTCCGCCTCTGCCGCCTTTCGGCTCAGCTCCTCCTCGTCCTTCTTTGCAGTCCTTTGATTCTGCGCTTTTATTAGCCGCATACTTTCTTGATGTTGAGTCTCTCTCAGTTGCTGTTTATTCTCCTCCTCCATGACCTCCAATTGGCTTCGTTCAGAGTCCTCCGTCCACACTAGACTTTCTGCAGCCTTCTTCTCCTTCTGTCGCCGTGTTGCGCCCACTTTTGCCTCAATGCGTTGTCGTTCGGCACGCCGTGACTCCTCTACCGCAACGCGTTTCATCTGTGAGAAAGGGACGTTACTCACCTCACAGCCCTCAGGCGCAGCGGTTGCAGCCGCCTTCACCGCCAGCGCCTCAGCATCAGGGAAGCCAGGCGCCGTGTTGTGGAATCGGTGCGTCAGCGTCGCGCCAGCGGCAAACCTCGCCCACTCCTCCGAGGGCTGTGGTGCCTCTTCATCCGGCTGGCCCGTCACCTCAATGACATCGATGACCGCCGCCGACACCGACACCGACGCGGAGCACGGCAGTGCTGGCTGTGCCGGCTGCAAGTTTGTCTTCAGCGTGGTGGGCAGGCCGCCAGTGCGCTGCTTCAAACCGTGGCGTGCCGGCGAGGGCAACGCGTTGTCGCCCTCGCTCTCAGACGAAACAAAAACTTCAGGGGAGGCCTGGTTCGCCCCTGAGTTGGCCCGCAGCGATGCGCCGGCTGCGCGCACTGTGTCCCGCTTTTGTGCAGCGGCGACGGTTGCGACCGACATCTCGCGGCTTGGCAGTGCCGGTGACGGCGAGTGCGTGGTGGCACCGCGTGAGTTTTTCCTCAGCACAGGACGCGGCGACAGTGCTGCTGGTGCGCGCGCCGCCGGAGCTTTGAAGTTGTTCTTCATAAATCCTCGTGTCTTTTTCCCGTCGCCGCCCCCGCCGCCGATGGTCTTCGATGCGGACTTTAGTTTCCCTGAGCGCCGCACGGAGGAGAAGCTTCCCGTTGACGTTACGGAGTCACGGGCGTGGCGCGGCATACTTGTGCTCGAATCCCTCGCGCTGCTACTGCTGATGGTTGCACGTCTCCACTTACCTTTGTGCGAGAGGCCTTCCTCGCGCTTTGGAGAGGAGCTGTGCTTGCCGCAGGACGACGCACGCGGACGACTGTCGGCGGCACGGGACGGCGATACCACGACATCCTCCGAGTCCAAGCTCGACGGGGAGACCTCGAGCGTGATGAGCGTTCCCTCAAGGTTCTCACCGCACGGCGGAGAGGCGCCGCTGCTGCGGCCCATCGAATTTTTCTGCGCCGTCTTTTTGCCACTGTTTTTGTCGCTGCTGCGCGCGTCGGCAATGGACGCCAGCTGTGCAGCTGGTGGCGTGGAGGCGGACTCCACGCGCGAGAGGCCTTGGCTGACCGCCTCCTCCTCTGGCACGAGCGACGACGGCAACTCCTTATGTGGCCGAGCCTTGGGCACAGCATCGCTGCTGCATTGCCGCATGCTGCCAAGCAGCCAGTCGTTCTGTGAACCACTCATCTGTGTCAGTGGCTCACAATTCTTCAGTTGCAAGAGTTCCCTGTGAAGGTTCTCAGTCATCTTTCCCGCACTCGTATGGACTTAATCACACAGACACACAAGAGTCGAATGAATGTCGAATACACTTGAAAACTATGTTAAGTGGTATGTCCTAACTCCGACAAGGTCGGCTTGTATCGAGAAAACAAGTCCAAGGTGGGTCAAGGTGCGCGGAAGTCGGTATGCGCGTGTATGTCCACCAGAGGCCCTGTTCCTCCTGATTCTGTTCCTTTTTTGGTGTTTGTGATTGTGTGTTTTTTTGTTTTTCTTCGCTGACGTTTATCTTTGCTACGGGCACACACACACACAGACGTTTGCGTTTCCCCGTTGCTTCACCACAGCGGTGGAATTTATTTCCCCAACTCTATTCCACACGCCCGCAGAAACACCCACAAGCAACCCCCCATACACACAAAAGAAAACAAAAGGGAAGCAGGAAGAAAGTGAGGAGCTACAGAGTAGGAAACCAGGAAGCCAACCATTCAATCACGCAGTTCTGCAACAATAGGATAATTAGGATGAAGAAAAGAGTCGTTGGTAGAAGCCTTCAGCATTTGGAATGATCAAAATGCAACTATTACTATAAATAAGCATACACAGACATACATATACATATATACACACACATGTACATACATACATATATATATTAGTGTGTATGTACATGTGTGTATATATATATATATATATACATATGTATAGAGAGAGAGAGAGAGTGATTGCTCTGTGTATACACAGAGGGACACGCAAATAGGATGCTTCACATCGCACGATTGCCTTGTGGTGATAATGGCCTGATTGTATGTGGGCGGCTGTTTGCTGGGAAAACGAGTTAAAATAAAGCAAAAAAAGACAAATGATCGAGATTAATCAAGCAGCAGCATCGAATCTTCGTTTGTGTTGTTTGGCTTCTCTTCAATGTATTTTAAGATCGCGTTACCAGCACCACACTCCACAATTTATCCACGACGTCGTACAGAAACCTAAACGAAAAGAGGACAAAAAAAAAAAGAAAAATCAGTGGGTTCAGTGAGTCTAGCACACATGAATGCACTTCTGCTTGTGTGTGTGTGTGTGTGTTTCGTTCCCCAGTAATAATGCGGACTGTTTGTTTCTCGTTTGCTTTCTTCATAAAGTGCGACCCCTCGCACCTCGTACAGCTCTGCTCTGCTCTCTCTCTCNTCTCTCTCTCTCTCTCCATCACCACCACCCCATCCCCGGCTGACATTCTCACTGTGTGGAGGAGCAATTATATTTACAACTTCTCCTCTCTCCCCCCTCTCGTCTTACCCCTCACTCTGTCCTTTGCGCTTTGTCTACATCGCCGACGATGTTGTCTCTTTATGTTTTCACCCGCCACGCCTTCGGCTACAGCAGGACTCTTCTCCTGTTGTTTGTTGTCTTTAGTTACTCCCCCCCGCCACTCGGCTCTGGGCTGTCAGGCGGCCGCACGGGCGTTGTGCCCCCGGCCCGCGGGCACACTTAAAACGCAAGCGTACACACAAACGCAAACAACAAACAGAGGCGGCAGGAACAAGAAAGAAGTAGAAGCGGTAGTAGATCGAGAGATAAATAGAGAGAGAGAGAGGGGGGGGG